GTGATGTGGATTGTATCTTATGGCCTCAAGAAACAGGACAGAAGTGACTGAATTCATCTTATTGGGCCTGTTCAATTGGCCAGAGATGCAACCAATTATTTTTGTAATAGTTCTTGCCATGTACCTGGTGGCAGTTATTGGCAATACCCTATTAGTGATTGTTGCCCACTCAGACACCAAGCTTCAGACACCCATGTATTTCCTTCTCAGTCAGCTTTCCTTTATTGACATATTTCTGACAACCATCACTGTGCCCCAAATGCTGGTGCACACAATGTCAGTGAATCGAACCATCTCCTTTAACCACTGCATGGTCCAGTTGTTTTTCTTCATGACTGTGGGCAGCATGGAAGGCCACTTGCTGGCTGCCATGGCCTATGACCGTTATGTTGCCCTCTGTGACCCTTTAAGATACTCTGCCATTGTTAGCCACCAGCTCTGTCTGCGTATAACCTTAACCTCATGGGTAATTGTCAGCCTTAACAGTTTCCTTTATAGTGTGCTGGTAACCCATTTAACCTTCTGTGGCAACCAAGTCACCCACTTCTTCTGTGATATCACACCGCTGCTGCAGCTCTCCTTCACCCGACCAGTGGTCAATGAAATGCTAATCTTCACAGAGGGTGTAGCTGTAGTGGTCAGCCCTTTCCTCTTCATTTTGGGCTCCTATGCCCGCATTGGTGTTGCCATAGCCCGCATGCACTCTGTTGCTGCCCTGCGTAAAGCTTTGTCCACTTGTAGCTCTCACATCCTGGTTGTGCTTCTCCTGTATGGCTCTGTGATCCGCATGTACCTCCGGCCATCCTCCAGCTATGATCTGGACCAGGACCGCCAGGTCGCTATTTTCTACACAGTAGTTACTCCTATGCTAAACCCACTTATCTACAGCCTGAGGAACCAGGAGGTCAGGGGCGCTCTGCAGAGGCTTGGCAAGAAACTCTGCATCTCAGGAAACTTCCAGCCTGGCTCCCAGGCAAACAGGAAATGGCAGCACATCTCCTGAGACTAACGAGTTAACATGTAATGTCTCAAATAGATGGGTTATAAAGTTCATCCTGATATGACTCACATTCCCATGAACCATCTTCCTCTTGACTCACTTGCATGGATGTGGGAAATGTGAGTTGACCCATGGTTCAGATCCCTGTTGACTGTCCTAGAACTTCAGAACATTGGAACTAAAAAGATATTTTAAAATTACCAAAATAAAACTTCTTATCCTTTGGCCATATCAGCTGGGGTTCAGATGACTATTAAAAAAAAAAAGAACACAAATCAGTATGGCTTGCAGAATTTTAACATTTAGGTGATGGTATGGCATGTCAAGTCTTTCTGAGATGGGTGGACATTCTAAGACCCTCAGTGAGATAGATTGACACATGCCTGAAACAACAGGCTCAAGCATAGAAAGTATCGTGAGGATGGTGCAGGTTTGGGCAGTGTTTTGTTCTGTTGTGCATAGGGTCACTATGAGTTGGAGCTGACTTGATGGCACCTAACAACAACAACAAGCATGCTTCAATTACTCACTTGTAAATAAAGAAGCAGCAGTTCCTATTGTTTAGGGTTGTTGGAAGGATTTTATATGCAGGATATATGTAAACTACTCAAAACAGGACTGTTTCACAGTAAGTACCATAAATGTGTGTTCTAGTATTATTATCATTGTCCATATTATCAATAACATATAGATTAAGAG